TATTATTTTTTTGGCCTTTATGCCTTTATTTGATAGAGATGGCTGGGTAGAAGCAGGAAGGGGGGGCAGAGAGAGAGAGGGGAGATGACATGCAACAAAGGGCCGCAAGTCAGACTCGAACCCAGGCCGCTGCGTATATGGGTCACCAGCTCTACCGACTGAGCTAACCGGGCGCCCATGATTCCATATTCAGGTGAATCAAAACATAGTTATGCATATTATATTCCATTTCTGCCAGTAGATCTTCGTAAATGTTACACACTGGACATTGTGTCATTCTGACAATGCATGACAGTAATTGTATGGATCTAAACTGTTATTATATTATTTGACAATGTTATTTGCCTGTGTGATTGAAAGCTTTAAAGGGTCAACATCCTTACATAATTTTTTTTCTGTAACAGTAAACCAGGAGTTTTACTTAGTGTAAACTTAGTTCTGTACAAAGCTAGATCACCTGTTACTCCACACACTGAACAAATGGAATAGAGTGGCTAATACAAAGCTGACTATAGGTAAATTCTTCGATGGTGTAATGGTCACTGTGCTGCTATGCTCTGTCCCCACGGTGTGGCACTTTGTGACGTATGTCTTCCTCTGCACACATCTGTAGAGTGTCTTTGGATTGTCTGATCTGACATACAGTCTGTCACCTCTGTGTGTGCAGAAGCTGCTGACAGGATACACTATGGTGATGTTGTGGAAGCAGCCATTGTCTGGCTTCGCTGTGGTGAGTTGTTCCTTTGTGGGTTGTGTGCTTTCAGAAGGAGAGATAGAGCTTGTGGGGAGAGGTACAGCAGGAGTTGTGTCCTGCATTGCCCAGTCTGGGAAAAAAAATTGAAAAGCACTGAAGTGAATCTTACAATTATGTTTTACAGAGAAGGATGTATTTTAAAGGAGGATCCCACCATTTTTACACATGAAATTCAGTTGAGAGAAAAGAGGCAATGTTTTTCTTTATTTTCTTTTTAAATGTATATTTCAACTAACTTATTGATGTGTCTTCCCTTCTTGATTTTCATAGTTTCCATTATGTCCTAAACACATACCACCAGTATCCCCTACAAATCAATTTAAAAAGGCTCAATAAGTAGAACAGTAATAGGAGCTCTGATTGAGGAGTAATTATTTTGAGTGCACTGAACAGTAGCGACAAACTTGATAAAACCAACCTAAACATTAGAAGTGTAATTGTATGAAAATATATTGTAATAATATTCTTAAATATTCTAACAATTGCATGAAAAAGATTGTGTTAAATAATATCCAGTTTATGACAAATCCATAGGAAACATTGGGTGACATAAAAGCGTACATGGACCTTTTAAATTGGATTTTAAATTGAGGCCACTGCATCTTAAAACGTCTGTGTGTTTGCAAACTCAGTTAACGTCCCTGCAGTAAAGAAAGGTTATGTTAGTGTGGCCTCACTTTCACTGAGTTTCCGTTTAAGATGTGATATCAGTGGATATTTGCCCTGCTCACAGAACTGTCCAGAGAAGTCATCCATATCCAGTGTCCACACAGCAACTCCTCCCAGCTTCCTGCTCTTCAGATGCTCCACCTGTAAGACAAAGCTCACATGTGGAGAGACTTGTTGAATCATCTGTTCTTTTCCATACCAAAGCCATATACTGTACCTTGGCATCATAGCTCCTCTGGTTATCAAAGCCGACCCACTGATTGCCTTTGACAGCGTAGGGGACTTTCTGGTCAACAATCCACTGAACTGAGGTGCCTTTCAAGAAGGAGCAGGTCTGGTAAAGAAACATTGCAGTTTCTGTCAGCATATACTCTGACACCGGATAAGTTAATTTAATTTAAAAAAATGTTGAAACTGATTACATCAAAATCTTTGAGTAACACAAAGAAAATGTTTTTAAGGTGAAAAAAGACTCTTTATTGAGCCGCTTTTACTTGTAAGTGGCACTGGGTTTAGTTTTGTAAGTTACAGAAACAATCCTGATTAATAACTTTTTACAAGGTACAGTATTTTGTTTTCACAGTACAAATAAAAATTACAAAATTAAGTCATTGTCACTTAAAATTACTAAAGCAGAGTCTTCCGCTGCACAAGCCTCAATACATCCTCCCAGACCAACCTTAAACATGACATCTTCTTCCACCTTCTCAGAATAGTCACTAATGCTCATTTGCCACGCCTCTGTAATGGTAAATTCAGTTTCTCTGTTTTAGCCACTCATATGCCCAACCTCCCCCCTTCTAACACAAGAATGCAGGTCCTTTTGTGTTTTGTAGATTGTGATGTCTGGACTTGCTTTGCACCTAATGCAAGATCCTGCAGGACACCTATATGTAAAACACACCACAGGGGGGGGGTCGCCTGATGTCGCAGGGGCAGAGGGGTTGGAAGCACTTTCCTGGAGGGCCAGACCTACAGGCAACAAAGAGGTGTGAAAGAGGTGGTCCTTCAGGTATAAAGTTTAGCTCTTCCCATGTTCGGGGTCTTTCTTCATCTTTGGACGCATCGTTGTGTTGATTTGACCTTTTCTTTGCAAGAAATAAACCTTGTCGCCGGCAGAAGTTCTCTATTTCATTTTCACCAGCAGCAGAGAAAATGCCAACAAACACCTCGTACATTGTTTTTTAATTTTTTTGGTACCTTTTTTGGGAAACGTTTAATGCAAGCAGTGGCATATGTGTTAGCATTGCAACAGCAGAGATGTAATGAATGTATCCACCTAAATGACACCACCTACAGGTTCAACTCCAACTTTGGGCAATGGAGGAGGAAGCTGAACTAGAGCGTAGCCAGACAACGCAGGCAAGCACTCATACTTCTCTTCCTTCTAAATTAAACAATAATTAAAAAATGATTTAACCATTTTAATGACTACAATGAGAAGAAAGTAAACTAGCCTACAGAAATCATTGCACTTGACTGTCATCAACATAAGAATTAAAAGAAGTAGCAAGTCGGTATACCAGGCTTCATAGATTGCTGCACGGATGATTGTTTTTGTAGGCCAACCCAGAATTAGCATCATCCCTGGTTCCCTTTCTTACGTACTTCTATAGTCATAGAAATGAGGTCTCTATTTTTTTT